CGTGCCGCATCACACTGCGATACAGCGAGGGGTCGGTGTAGGACTCAAAGGTGACAGACTGCAGACTCCCCGCCGGGAAGAACCCGAGGCAGCTGAGCGTGGGGTAGTATATCGGCTCGACGGTACCGCGGTGGAACCGGAGGTGCCGCACGAGGGCGCGCAGATGTGCGCAGCTGTGCAGAGTCCGCTCGAGGCTGAACACCCTCCGGTCGTGGCTGTCGAAGTAGGTACGGCGATAAAGCCCCTCACGCGCGGCCGGGAGCCATGTGTGGCATGTGAGGGCCATCGTGGCAAGATTTGGCTTCGAGAGGTAGTGTGCGATCTCCAGAAGGATGTCATGGTTCGCCCTCTGCCCAGCGGAAGGCGCTGCGTGCGATGCCCTGGATAGTAACGCGAGTGCACCCGTCAACTTTTCCGGTCGCACAGAACTGTACAAAGCGCGGAAGCGCAGAAACTTACATTGTCACGGTCGGACAAAGGACTGGTACTTCCGTCTAGTCTCGGGATGCAGTCACTGAAATTTTGCCGTGTTTGTCCCGGCCAGATTAGGGAACCCCGGCGACGAACAACGCTACAATCGTTAGGCATGCACCATATACTAAGCACGAGAGGGTGGCCCGTGCTACGCACGGGCAGAGAGAATTGCGAAGGGAGTTGAGAAGGGAAATCGAATGAGAAATGAGAGGAACGCGCCGCCCGCCGCCAACCGAAGGGCGTCCCCGTGAGAGGCGCGGGATCACTGGCCAATGATAGTGCGTCTTTGTCTCGGGGATTTGACGCCCGAGGTGTTTTGGTATATTAAAATAATATAAAATATAGAATATTAGATAGATGGTCATATAGGTACCAAAGACTTTGAACAACGATATCCCGAGTCCCCGGCAGGACTCTTGGATCTGAGCAGCCTCTAGTTATTGTTACGATACCATAATGCGCTGCCATGTTATCAATTCTATCGTACACTGAAGGCGGCTTTGAGAGCAGCAGGGAAGCCGTGAATTCTCTCACGAGTCTCAGCATGTCCGAAGAGCGACTGTATGTACACACTCTAGTGATTACCTCATGCCTTAGGTCCGTTCTTCTCGGTCCGCCTGAAACTGTATACGAGAGCTATGAAGTTTGGCACCACATCTGGACGCTACTGGACAAACGCGACGGTCGACCGCGGCTTGAAAACGGCTTTGAAGGGAACGGGACAGCTGGCAAGGTCTCAATTACCGGTAACTCGCACACGAAGGGCAGATACTGCACGCACCTGACAATTCCGGAAGTGAATTCTCCAGAGGGCTCCACGACGTTCCCCATCTCATCGAAGGGCTTCTCAATCTTGAAGGCCGAGAGGACATTGGCAACCGTCAGCCAGACGACGTCCAACGCAAAATAACGTCCCGGGCATATTCTTCGGCCGAAACCGAACGCGCTGGATACAGCGTCCACCAGGTGTTTGAGCAGGTGTCCGTCTGAGTCGAGGAAGCGACTGGGGTTGAAGGTGTCCGGGTTGGGAAACCGTTCTTCGTCGTGGAGAATGGTTCTGCAGAGCCCAGCAGGTCATGGAAGGTTTAAAATAGCCAAATGCGAGAGACAACGCACCGTGCGTTTCCGAACAAAACAGTCCCAGCAGGGATATGATACCCTTCATACTCGTCGTCTGCAACCGACTGATGTGCGACACCTAGCCAGTATCATTTTAGCCGTCACTGGCTTTCACACTCGACTCAAAATTTGTGTACCTAGTGGGAGTCCAGGCCTCCAACTGAAAATTATGGATTTAGTTCTTGACCGCCGCCTGTCACTCATGTAGCGCGCACCGTAATGTTTCCCTAACCAGGGCTGTGATATATGGCAGCGACTTTTCATCTTCCATTACCGGCAGACGATCTGTGCCTATAACTCGGTCAAGTTCTGCCTGGGCTGCAAGCTGCACTTCTGGGTACAGCAGCATAGCCAAAATGAAGACTGACAACACCGAGCTGGTCTAAGAGTAATAGTTTGGTAAGCATTTCAGCAGGGGTGAGCTGGCCGCTTGCCGTCTCAGACGCCGCTGCAACAGCCGACAATCAGCCTAAGTATGAACGTAAGGTCGCTAAGTATTGCTTTCTCGAACCTGCATATCCGGTGCCAGTAGTGTTGATGATGACTTGCTCCAGCATCTGAGAATTTGCTCCGTCCTTATAGAGCTCCGCTAGCATTTCCGTCACAACGCATGGTCTTGGCACTCCCCTTTCCTGATAATAGGATGAGGACTCAACACGTACTTGCTTGAGAAAAGTTAATAGAACCCACATAAGCGATCTTTACATCATTGTATGGTTGTATGTACATCCTGTCGACTATGGGTTTCCAAGCCTCAGCGTCGCGTTTGAATTTGGCACCCGGGAACCACGAGGGTATGAACCTCACTACGTAGGGATCAATGAATATTGCGAACCGAGAGGAGAGTCTGAAACTTACGAAGAGGAAACGAGTCCACTAGGTGCATAACTTAGCAAAGATGCCACGCAAAAGACTTATCGATACAATACCAAGATACACTCCAGGATTGCCAACTTTCTGCAAGATGTCGAGAGCTTCTTCCACAATTGCGAGAGTGGGGTCGCCTTCCGAGGTAATATCCACACCGTACATGATGCCAATGATATTATATGCGGTCATGCTGGTTCAAGAACAGAGGGAAAAACATGAATATACGGCAGTTGGACATTGGCTGGCAACCCACAAGCGGATATGTTTGATAAAACACTCTGGCTCGGCGTAGAGTAAGCGGAGCAGCTGGCGCACCGCCTTTTCTGACCTTTGATGGTATCCAAACACAGCGTTTGAGCGGAAGTGTTGGTGGAATATCTTGCGATGTGCCCGCCAAAAGTCACCATATTTCATCAGGCCCAAATTCCTATCCCAGCCGGTCCTGTCATACGATCATCAGTTGCCGATTTCAACTCAGGATAGTCACACGTACAAGTTAATCATTGCCGCTTGCGGTCTACGTTGGTTAAATATCGGTACGTGCCCTGAATCTTGAGGATAGTACTCACTTATCAGAATGCAGATTTGACCGCCTCTCGAAGAGTTCGGTTGTGGCCTTCGCGGAGTTAAGGACCACGTAATGGGCCCCTAGAATCTGGAAATGCACGACATCCGAGTCTGCCAGAAGACCAATAAGAGATACACCACAAGAGATGGTTCCATAGGGCACGTACCATAAGTGCGACCCCACTCTTGAAACGTGCGCCATTCGTGCTCCTTGGGTGCGTCGAGGATATTCCCCAAGATGGGAAGACCTTTAGGGCCAGGTGGAAGTCGACGTCGTCCTGGCCTATTGAGGACAGCAACGAACAGGCAGACTATACCGATTGCCAGGGGAATCAGTGGAAGAGATGCAGTATCCAAGGTCATTTCGTCGGGTGCAAGGGGGTTGCAGGCTGGGGGTCAGTCAGATGCTGTGGTTTATATGTGACGTGTAAGGTGTATCCTGTTCGTGATCGCATCTGCCAGTGGCCATAGGGTAACGAAAGCCGATTCGAGATGACGACGCCAATGGTGCGCATAGATCTCTGTTCAGTATGTGCTTTTACCGGTGACGCTTCTTGTGGGAGAATCAGGGTCTAGTTGCCTTCAGGCTGTACGGCTCGTAGCAGTTTCCGAAGATTTGCCTGTCGCACTGCTTTAGTCACTCAGTCAAGCGGATCACAGCTCATACGTACGACAGACATCCTGAATTACAAGCGACACCCTCGATACATTCCTCACAGCAGACATCCCTAATGAGATATGGCTGAATTGGTGACAAGGGACAGCAGGGAGCCTGAGAGCCGTTGCGTCGAACGGCATGTGGAAATGTCGTCACATGGGAGACCCGCTATGGAGTGGCCACGGCCATTGCATCTGCAATATATAGTATCTGTATTGCATCCTAAATCTTACAGCACCCCGGGCTATGATGTCGCTCGTCACGAGCTCACACAAACGGTCGTGCTTAGACTGGACGGCGCGAAAGAGTTTACCATTGGGGGTTTGTGGCAGGCGGGAGCGAGCTGCATCTCACATTCTTTTGTTCCACGTGTTCTTCACAAACTGGAGGGCTGTAGTGCGCGCGCGGCCTGACGCGGACGAGCTGACCTAATGGTTGCTGTCACCACGA